CCAAACATATTTGTCGAGACAAGTGTTGCGAGCGCTGGGAGTCTGAGTCCAGTGCCTGTATTCGCGCCAATAATAGCCTAACATTTGTTTTGTCGGTTTCGAGTAATTCATTGAACAGGTCTTCCGACGCCTTTACCTTTAATCTGAAAAAACATTAAAACAATTAAAATAAGAGAAAATATTTATTTCACAGAATATTCTGTTACTTCGAAACCCAACTAATCTTCAGATCACTGACAGCTGTACTGAACTGATCTTCGGGTGATATTTTAGATTCGTTTTCATCCCCTTTTGTGGCACTGCTTCCCGACTTGACTATCGGTTGGCTATCGACAACATATTTGAATTTAAAGTCATTTTTGTATTTAAACAAATTTGGAGATATATTTTAATTTACAAATCATTTACAACAAAGTAACCACCTCTATCAGAGATTGTTCCGTACGTTAGGCATTCTCTATAATTGCCTAATAGTGTACAGTCTTCTAAGCTACCGGTGCCACTCGTATGTATAACAGCCCTGTGTATAAAATGAATTAAATTTATGGGTTTAATTTTCAATTCACTCAAAGTTTTGTATTATATTAATATTATTATTTAATTCAAGCCATACATCCAATGGGATCCGTCACTAAATACCACACAATCACAAGTAGGGCCCAAATCCTTGAACCCTATCATGGAGTTGGTCTCCATTTCCTTCAGGAAATCCATTCTTGATTTCAAGTCTTCACGAATCAGTTTCTCATCGAAAGTGTCATTTGAATCCTCCGGGTGTTTGTCCTCAAAGTCCCGGAGCTCTCGCATTGCTTCGGCTGTAATAGTCTTATGATTTGGTTCCCATTGGGTTTCCCTATACTCCCGGGCCATCCGAGTGCCCACTCCTTCCGGATATAATTCATATATATTTTTCATTCCGATGTGATATTTGCCCGAAGGGTTCACCCAATGGCCCGGTATCTAAAAAATAATAATTTATTATTTACTAATATTTTAAAACAATTTTAAAAACTTTGAGTTTAGTTCCGGTGAGTCCAGTGATAAATCCCTGTTCATCGGCCTCAACAACAGTACTGGTGTCCACATCACCGGCACCGGTAGCGTCCATCATATCTATGATTTTTGGTTTGCCATCACTTGTGACCTATTAGTGCAATAACTTTCTATTAATTCAAATTTTAAAATCAAATAATAATGAAATACCTGCAGTCCATCAGCACCTGGGTCAACTCCAGAGTCAATGATTGCAATTTTAATGCCTCTCCCATCATATTCAGGGTATTTATCTATGAATGACTGGGCAGTGGTTTCCCGTTTTGGTAGTAATGCCCATAAAGGGAACGACTCATTGACTACCGATGCGCTCATTATAAGTTATTTATTAAACTAATTTAATTCAATATTAATTTTGATATAATTATTAAAATTTTCAATAGAAATGAAAAGGATTTGTGGCAAGATAATTTAAGATATAATGTTTGTATTATTATAATTATTTAGCATTTAAACGAAAACAAATGATGTATTTATATAATATCATATCATATATCATATATTACTCCGTAATCTTGTAGTGACGACAAACCCCTATAGTTATTCATATTTCAAATAAAAAATTTAAATATGATCACTATTTTGTATTTACAGTATATAGATTACAAATTAAATAAGTACTGTACCAGGATTACAAAAATATATTACAGTATTATTTATTTCAACTAGCGATGTATGCCTTTAATAGTTTAATACAATATTTACAACACTAGTATTTTATGAATCAGGAATTAGCCATTAGTATTAATAACTTTTAAAATTAATATTAATTTTCATTACTTAAAGCAAAGTATAACTTATGTGTTGTGTTGTGGATTAAATGATGTGTCAATGCTTTACTATTCAGTATTTCTAAACAAAGGGATAAATCACTGAAAGTTTACTTATTCACTCAAATATTGTTGTAGGTTTCAAATATCTTAAATTAGTGTATTAATCATTTGAATATTATATTTTGTTTATTAAATTTTCAAATTATTATTCAAAATGAAAATTATGTTTTCACAATAAACATTGTCACTTTTAAATCATAAAATATTAGTGTTTGGAATGGTTAATAAGTTTATTAATATTATAAAACACTAATTTAGAGATTTTAAAAATTTTGGACGTCTATGCTGTATAAGATTAAGAATATAATTTTTTTAAAATAAAGTTAAAGATATAAAACATATACATGTTTATCAACTTGTAATAAAATGATTACTAATGTCGAACCATAATTATAAATTATTTTGACGTGTTAACTAAAACAGTATTTTTTCTCATGCCAATAATTTCAATATAAGTTTAAGTCTATTAGAACTCTTAATGTGCATGATCATTAAACCGTAAATATTACATAAATTTATTTTCATCACAGAATATACAGTATAAAATTTATTACAAACTAATATTAGTACTCGATATTAATTATGAATAACCACTAAAATGTCAAAATAGTCGGTAATCATTGGGAAACATAGCATTAGATATGCGATTGAAATGACTTTCGGCGTGAGTCCACTCCAAGCTCTTAAACGTCTGGATAACATAAAATAAATTAATAAAGGGTCATAAAATTAACTGCAAATTAATATACCTTAATAATCTTACGATACACAGAAATGGTAGGTTTGCCATCAAATTGTTTTGAGTATATTTTGAGTGCCCGGCCGTACTGTCGGTGCATTAATGCATGCCTTTCCGTAAACGCATTAACCTTTGGGTCGTAAGGATCGGCCACTAGTTTGCAAATATCTTTATAACATCAAATTGTTTTGAGTATATTTTGAGTGCCCGGCCGTACTGTCGGTGCATTAAGGCATGCCTTTCAGTAAACATAATAACCTTTGGGTCGTAGGGATCGGCCACTAGTTTGCAAATATCTTTATACACATCATTCACATCCGATAGTATAAACTGTGGAACACCTTCCACTGTAGTAGGGGTAGTAGTGTCAACAGCACTGGTATCATCACCACTGAACATAGGTATGTGCCCACCAGTAGTTACTGGAGGTTTGGTTTGTGCGTCGATGAGGTCACAAATGGCTATCCCTTTCTTCACCAGTACCTCCAAAACGGTAGACTTTTTTGTTTTCAAACTATTTGTTAAATAAAATAAAATCTTTTAAATCGTGACTAAAATTAATAATAAAAATGCCTGAGAAACTCGCGGACAAACAACAGTAGTAAACTGAGAAAGAAATCCTAGTGAAGTCTACACTAATTTAGTAATTAAAATGTGTTTAGATTCTGTAGCAATCGGTTTGTATAAAGTCGAGACAAGTGTTGCGAGCGCTGGGAGTCTGAGTCCAGTGCCTGTATTCGCGCCAATAATAGCAAATCATTAATTTTACACAAATCTAAGACATCGTTAGCCAAACATATTTGTCGAGACAAGTGTTGCGAGCGCTGGGAGTCTGAGTCCAGTGCCTGTATTCGCGCCAATAATAGCCTAACATTTGTTTTGTCGGTTTCGAGTAATTCATTGAACAGGTCTTCCGATGCCTTTCCCTTTAATCTGAAAAAAACATTAAAGCAATTAAAATAAGAGAAAATATTTATTTCACAGAATATTCTGTTACTTCGAAACCCAACTAATCTTCAAATCAGTGACAGCTGTACTGAACTGATCTTCCGATGGTATCTTAGCCTCGTTTTCATCCACTTTTGTGGCACTACTTCCAGACTTGACTATGGGTTGGCTATCGACAACATATTTGAATTTAAAGTCCTCGGCTATAAATCTGGTGATGCCGTTAGCGAATCCCATACGACCCGTGAAATACGCGCCGTTAGTAATAGGTATGTCCGGTGGATATGACACCAACGCTCGTATGAATATAGGCGTTGGTGTGTCCGGTCGGAGTGGCAGCCAATATATACGTCGGGAGCTGTCGGTTATGGCATTTCGGTACGTGTCGTATAAATCCAGTGATTTGTTTACAGTGTATTGAATGTGAAACGGGAGTTGACATAACCTTTCCCATTGGGAACTCAGTGTATGTTTTATTTGCACTTTTATTATGTAATCTCCCTTTTCTAGTCGTATCTAATTTTTAAATAAACACCATTTTTTAAAGTACTTTCTACTCGTGTTAAATAATAATTTGAATGTTAATAATATTAATGTTAAATATTTACTGATGAGGGTAAGTCTAGGCCGGTACCGATATATTGCTTGGTGTCCGAGTTGAATATCATCCACACCAATGATATATATTCCGGTCCATATGTCAAGTCATATCCATATAAGAGTGACAATGAACTTATCTTAACATCCTGACCCTTTGTCTAAATTAATAAAATGTATTACCTATGTATCATAAAACAATAGTCTGAATGGCAAACCATTTTCAAATTATAAGTCAACAAAACTTCGTATAACTGCTGCGCGGGTGGTATGACATCACGACTGTCTAGTGGGCGTAATTTGCTATCAATTGGCCTAGTTTATATGTAAATACTTTATTATTTAGTATACAAACATGATTGAACCGGCTTATTTTTCATACATTAACACTTGTATAAAGTTTCTAATGGTAATCGTGGGCCTAATTTCCTCGATATCGAAATTACTTTGAATGTCAATTCTGGCGATCATTTCACTAGAAAACTATATATTTACTCATTAATTTCTAATCATATCACAAAATTTTTTCGCAAACCATAGTGATTGAGGGCAGTGAGGGCTGGAGTCCGTAAAATTTTACATCTAATTGAATCCTATTATCCGCCAAAACTTCGTACGACTGTCCGAAACACACTTCCAGTGTTCGCGAGGTTTTCAAATGAAAGGCAAATTTGGTCTTGTTTTGAGGTTTTAGTGCAAAACCTTTATCCATTTTATTAATACTCAACGCATTGAGTGGTCGCACCTGTAATGCCTGTAAAAAACAGTGGATCTCATCCATGGGCTCCCAGTTCTTCACGCGTACCACCATTTGTGTGACATTTGCTGGGATATCAATGAATTGGCGCCAAATATAACCCGGCTTATAAATCTGTGTATTTTCTATAATTTTTGTTTCCGGAATTCTTTAAAAATAGTAAATGACAATTTATATTAAAAACAGTTAATATTGAAAAAAATGGTTACTTCATAGGCTTTATGACAGTTACGGGAATTTGAAATACCGGTCCCTTTTCCACACAGTTTATATCATAGGCTTTAATCTATTGGTAATTTGGAAATTAAGTTTACGCACAACTCATTAATGATTAATATGTTGATTTATAATTACCATGGCAAAGTTGGCACTACTCTCTTGGAGAGGTCGGGGGTCTACCCTAATGGTAACCTCCCTTGTTGTATAAGTCATATGCAAAAACTCCGCACAAGTAATCCACTCGTCGTCGCAAATAAGTCTTAAATTGATCTCAAAATCTACTTTTCGTTTATTATCTGAAATAAAGTCAAAATTTTAAAACAATAAAACTCAGGCTAATAAACAAAATACCGATTTGTTTGTGATTCAGAAAAATTGGTTCAACTTTAATGACATGAAGGGATGGGTTGATAACATCGACGGCTTCTCTCAGATAAACACCTAATCCCTGTCCACAGGTTATGTGAAAACGGACGTCCATTTCCAATGAATCCTTATAGTGAGTCAAATGTTCAAACGCTTTTTCAACCTAATAATTAAAATTGGTTATATTATTTTAAAAAGCTATGTTAAGAGTGACCTGGATCAGTCCGTGTCCGTGGGTGAGGGGATCGAAGTTTTCAATTTTAAGGGCAGTGTTTTCAATAGCCCGGCGCACACTATATGGCGAGTACTCGACATTTAATGCCTTGAGACCCGATAATAAGAGACACAGACATCCGGCACAGTTTGGGGCACTCATTGACGTGCCATCCTTTAACTGGGCTCTCGATAGCTCACACGTGGGCACCGATGTTATGGCGCCTCCCGGTGCGCATATCGTTACACCCAAATCGCCGGTTAAACTGGTAAAACAAACTTATAACTAAAATATTATTGAGTTTTTCAATAGCGCGTACGTAGGGCCCCGGGATGTCCAGTGATACATTAACCCTGGTATTTGTTTATTCAGCGAATAGGCGGTTGTCATCATATCGGGGGAGACGTAAGCGCCGACACTTATAAACGATTGCGAGTGTACTGTCCTTATCATGCCTACGGTGGACAGAGAGGGTCCGAGATTACCGGCTGATTTAACGCACAAAATGCCGTATTTGTTGACCACTTCACTCATTAGGTCTAAAACAGGGCTAACATAAACCAAATGGACAAACACATCTATAAATGTTATAAATTGACTAATTTTTATGGGATAGGTATATGGGGGGAACCGACCCATCAAAGTACTGTCTGGACATGTCATAACTCATATTAATGACATGACATCCCGTTTCGATTACTTTATTAAGTGCTCTGAAATACATAATAATTTGTATAACAAACTAATATTATATACATTTTTGGTGCAAATAGAGACCTCACAAGACTGGATCCATTATATCGCTTATCGATGACACATATGCCGACGATCTGAGCGCCCGGTGCCACACCGTTCCTATGGGGATCATTGGGAAAGTTAGCCGCGGCTATACTGGCCACGTGTGTGCCGTGAGATGCTGTCCAATGAGCAAGTTAATTTATTTGCAAAATATCTTATATTAATTTATATATATTTTTACAGCTCATTGTCACGATTTCCAATAGGTTTCCCTCGTTATGGATATTAATGCCATAGTTTAGCATATCTATGGAGATATATTTTAATTTACAAATCATTTACAACAAAGTACCCACCTCTATCAGAAATTGTTCCGTACGTTAGGCATTCCTTGTAATTGCCTAACAGTGTACAGTCTTCGAGGCTACCGGTGCCACACGTATGGATAACAGCCCTGTGTATAAAATGAATTAAAATTGGTTTAATTATTAAAGCAATGTAAGTGTTATAATATGTCATCATTTAAGTCAAGCCTTACTTCCAATGGGATCCGTCATAAAACACCACACAATCACAAGTAGGGCCCAAATCCTTGAACATAGTGTTGGTCTCCACGGCCTTCAGGAAATCCACTCTTGATTTCAAGTCTTCACGAATTAGTTTCTCATCGAAAGTGTCATTTGAAGCCTCCGGGTGTTTGTCCTCAAAGTCCCGGAGGTCTCGTACCGCCTCAGCTTTGATAGTGGTATGGGTCGGTCCCATATGGGTTTCTCTATACTCCCGGGCCATCCGAGCGCGCACTCCTGCCGGATATAATTCATATATATTTTTCATTCCGATGTGATATTTGCCCGAAGGGTTCACCCAATGGCCCGGTATCTAAAAATTAATAATTTATTATTTACTAATATTTTAAAATAATTTTAAAAACTTTGAGTTTAGTTCCGGTGAGTCCAGTGATGAATCCCTGTCCATCGGCCTCAACAACAGTACTGGTGTCCACATCACCGGCACCGGTAGCGTTAATCATATCTATGATTTTCGGTTTACCATCGCTTGTGGTCTAAAAACAAAAATATGTTTTACTAAATGTAAATCAAACCTTACCTGTAAATGTAAAATACCTGTAGTCCATCGGCACCGGGGTCAACTCCAGAGTCAAGGATTGCAATTTTAATGCCTCTCCCATCATATTCAGGGTATTTATCTATGAATGACTGGGCAGTGGTTTCCCGTTTCGGTAGTAATGCCCATAAAGGGAACGACTCATTGACTACCGATGCGCTCATTATAAGTTATTTATTAAACTAATTTAATTCAATATTAATGTTGATATAGTTATTAAAATTTTCAATAGAAATGAAAAGGATTTGTGGCAAGATAATTTAAGATATAATGTTTGTATTATAATTATATAACATTTAAACGAAAACAAATGATTTATTTATTTAATATAAACATATCATATATTACTCCGTAATCTTTTAGTGACGACAAACCCATTTAGTTATTCATATTTCAAATAAAAGTCGTTCAAATATTATCACTATTTTGTATTTACAGTATATAGATTGCAAATTATATAAGTACTGTATTACAAAAAGTATATTATTATTTGTATAAATTTAGTGAATATAATTTTTCAAAAATAAAGTTAAAGATAAAGTTGCACATTATTTTAGTAATGATTACAGCTTGGTATTAATATTTAATAAAACTACACAATTGACTTTTGTCACAAAGATAGAGTTCGATTATTAAAGTTATATTCAAATTCTGATAATCTTGAGAAAATGTTCATGATCATTAAACCGTAAATATTTATAATTAATTACATAAATTTATTTTCATCATAGAATATACAGTATAAAATTTATTAAATACTAAAATTAGTACTCGATATTAATTATTAATAACCACTAAAATGTCAAAATAGTCGGTAATCATTGGGAAACATAGCATTAGACATGCGATTGAAATGACTTTCCGCGTGAGTCCACTCCAAGCTCTTAAACACCTGGATATCATAAACCAAATTAATAAATGATCATAAAATTAACTGCAAATTAATATACCTTAATAATCTTACGATACACAGAAATGCTAGGTTTGTCATCAAATTGTTTTGAGTATATTTTGAGTGCCCGACCGTACTGACGGTGCATTAAGGCATGCCTTTCAGTAAACATAATAACCTTTGGGTCGTAGGAATCGGCCACTAGTTTGCAAATATCTTTATACACATCATTCACATCCGATGGTGTAAACTGCGGAACACCTTCCACTGTAGTAGGGGTAGTAGTGTCAACAGCACCGGTATCATCACCACTGAGCACAGGTATGTCTCCACTTGTAGTCACTAGAGGTTTGGTTTGTGCATCAATGAGGTCACAAATGGCTATCCCTTTCTTCACCAGTACCTCCAAAACGGTAGACTTTTTTGTTTCCAAACTATTTGTTAATAAAATAAAATCTTTTAAATTTTTGACTAAAATTAAATTATTTTTACGGACTCTTTGAGCGCCTGTTTGTTGTCATCATTTGACTCTTTCTTTAGGATCACTTCAGATGTGATTAAATCATTAATTTTACACAAATCTAAGACATCGTTAGCCAAACATATTTGTCGAGACAAGTGTTGNTTCAGATGTGATTAAATCATTAATTTTACACAAATCTAAGACATCGTTAGCCAAACATATTTGTCGAGACAAGTGTTGCGAGCGCTGGGAGTCTGAGTCCAGTGCCTGTATTCGCGCCAATAATAGCTTAACATTTGTTTTGTCGGTTTCGAGTAATCCATTGAACAGGTCTTCCGACGCCTTTCCCTTTAATCTGAAAAAATTAATATAAGAGAAAATATTTATTTCACAGAATATTCTGTTACTTTGAAACCCAACTAATCTTCAGATCACTGACAGCTGTATTGAACCGATCTTCCGGTGATATCTTAGACTCGTTTTCATCCACTTTTGTGGCACTACTTCCCGACTTGACTATCGGTTGGCTGTCGACAACATAATAGAAATAAAATTCTTCAGCCATTCTTCTGGTGTTATCTTCGGCTAATCGCATACGACCCGTGAAATACGCACCGTTAGTAATAGGTATGTCCGGTGGGTATGACACCAACGCTCGTATGAATATCGGGGCAATTTTGTCCATTTGCAGTAAAAACTTGTTTACAAGTCTGTTGCTGTTTGTTATGGCATTTCGGTAACTACCATATAGATCAAGTGCCTTGCTCACATTGTATTGTATGTGAATCGGGAGTTGACATAACCTTTCCCATTTATGACTCATTGTATGTTTTATTTGCACTTTTATTATGTAATCTCCCTTGTCTAATTTTATCTAATAATTTGTATGAAAATTATCATCAAATATATTTAAATATGATAACAAATTATAAATTTATAAAACCACGTTATAATTACCACTGAAAACCAATCTAGACCGGCACCTATATATTGCTTGGTGTCCGAGTTGAATATCATCCACACCAATGATATATATTGCGGTCCATATGTCAGGTCATATAATATAGATGTAAATCCAACCCTAACAGCCTGGCCCTTTGTCTAAACAGAATAATTGCTAAAACTCAAAATTGTAAATTGTTTTCATTGCAAACCATTTTCAGATTATAAGTCAATAAAACTTCGTATAACTGCTGTGCGTGTGGTATAACATCACGACTGTCCAGTGGACGCACCTTATTCTCAATTGGCCTAGGTCAAAAACACAATATGTAATTATCAAACACATTAAGAGCAGTGTATATCTCTATTACATCAACGGCTGTACAAAATTGTAAACTCCAATCCCAGGCTTAATCTCCTCGAAGTCAGAAATAGTCTGAATATCAATTCTGGCGATCATTTCGCTTGAAAACTATAACATAATTAGTATTTGATTTTTAATCCATTTATATAATGTGTTTGCAAACCATAGTGAATGACTGGAGTGAGGGCTGGAGTCCGTAAAACTTGATATCTAATTGAATGCTAGTATCGGCTAAACAATGGAAATCTAGTCCGAAACACACTTCCAGTGCTCGCGAGGCTTTCAAATGAAAGGCAAATGTGGTCTCGTTTTGAGCTTTTAATGCAAAACATTTTTCCATTTTCTGAATCCGGAGTGAATTCAGTGGTCGCACCTGTAGTGCCTGCAAAATACACATTATCTCATCCATGGGCTCGCAGTTCTTCACGCGTACCACCATTTGTGTGACATTTGCCGGGATATCCATGAATTGGCGCCAAATATAACCCGGCTTATAAATCTGTGTATTTTCTATAGTTTTTGTTTCCGGTATTCTATGCAATTAAATTAAATATTTTGAATAATCAATTTTAAAATAACTTAAATTGTAATAAAATATTACTTCATTGGTTTTATGACAGTAATGGGTATTTGAAATACAGGCCCTATTTCAGTATTGTTTGTATCGTATGCCTTAATCTTTTTTAAAATAATGATTTTATTTACCGCGTAATATGTTAATAAATACATTTTTAAATACCAGTGCAAAGTGAGCCATACCCTCTTGAAGGGGTCGGGGGTCAACCTTTAAGGTAATCTCCCTTTTATCGTAAGTCATGTGCAAAAACTTCGGACAAGTAATCCACTCGTTTTCGCACACCAGACGTAAATTCATTTCAAAACCAACTTTTCGTTTATTATCTGAAATAAAACATAAAGTTTTACATAAACTTAAAAACTATTATTTATTTAACTATAAATTACCGATTTGTTTGTGATTCAGAAAAATGGGCTCAATTTGAATGTCATGTAGGGATGGGTTCATCACATCGACGGCTTCTCGCAGATAAACACCTAATCCCTGTCCACAGGTAATATAAAAGCGGACTTCCCTTTCCATTTCGACCTTATATTGAACCAAATGTTCAAATGCCATTTCAACCTATTAATCAAAGTTATTTAAAATACCCTGTCCATTCAGGTAATTGGTGGGACATATAACCTGAATCAGTCCGTGTCCATGGGTGAGGGGCTCGTAGTTTTTAATTTTAAGGGCAGTGTTTTCAATAGCCCGGCGCACGTTATACGGCGAGTACTCGATATTCAGAGCCTTGAGACCCGATAATAAGAGACACAGACATCCGGCACAGTTTGGGGCACTCATTGAAGTGCCGGTAAATAAATCTGCTCTCTTTAGCTCACTCGTGGGCACCGATGCTATAGCCCCTCCCGGTGCGCATACCGTTACACCCAAATCACCCAATAATCTAATAAATATACAAAACTATAAATTACCAATAAATTAATTCAATAAAGCATACGTAGGGCCCCGGGATGTCCATTGATACATCAACCCTGGTATTTGTTTATTCATTGAATAAGCGGTTGTCATCATATCGGGGGACAGGTATGCGCCGACACTTATAAAAGATTGCGAGTGTATTGTCCTTATCATGCCTACGGTGGACAGGGAGGGCCCTGAGTTACCGGCAGATGTAACGTACAAAATGCCGTATTTGTTGACCACTTCACTCATTAGGTCTAAAACTGGGCTAAAATAAAACATTTCATAAATAAATATTTAATATATTTTTATGGGACAGGTATGTTAGGGAAACGTACCCATCAAAGTACTGTCTGGACACGTTATAACTCATATTAATGACATGACATCCCGTTTCGATCACTTTATTAAGTGCTCTGAAATGTCCATAATATAAATTATGTATAAACATCATCCAAAATGACACTGGTCATCATATAGACCTCACAAGACTGGAACCAGTGGTTCGTCTGTCCAATCGTTTATCATCGAAACAAATGGCGACGATCTGAGCTCCCGGTGCCACACCATTCCTATCGGGATCATTGGGAAAGTTAGCTGCGGCTATACTGGCCACGTGTGTGCCGTGAGATACTGTCCAATGAGCAAGTTAATTTATTTGCAAAACCAGTATTAATTGTGTGTATATATTACAGCTCACGGACACGATTTCCAATAGGTTTCCCTCGTTATGGATATTAATGCCATAGTTTAGCATATCTTTGAAAATAATAATTTTTCAAATATACTGTATATTTAATATATATAGTTAATGAATATAAAACTAGTTTAAACCTCGTTGAGATATTGTTCCGTAATTAAGGCATTCCCTATAATTGCCTAATAGTGTGCAGTCTTCTAAGCTACCGGTGCCGCTCGTATCTATAACGGCCCTGAAGTCAAATAGGTTTTAACATAAATATCTACCAAATATTGATTGAATATTATTATATTCAAGATTTACATCCAATGGGATCCGTCATAAAACACCACACAATCATAAGTCGGACCCAAATCCCTATATTTAGTGTCCATTTCCTCGAGGAAATCCATTTTAGATTTCAAATCCTCGCGAATTATTTTGTCATCAGAGCTATCGTTTGAAGGCTCCGGGTGTTTGTCCTCAAACTCCCGGAGCTCTCGGAGTGTCTCAGTTTTACTTGTCTTATGTATGGGTTCCCATTGGGTTTGCCTATACTCCCGGGCCATCCGAGTGCGCACTCCTGCCGGATATAATTCATACATATTTTTCACTCCGATGTGATATCTTCCCGAAGGGTTCGCCCAATGGCCCGGTATCTAAAATATGCAAAATTAATGAATTATCACTAATTTTACATTGCTAATATCTCAATAATCTGTATAAAACTTTTAGTTTAGTTCCGGTGAGTCCAGTGATGAATCCCTGTCCATCGGCCTCAACAACAGTACTGGTGTCCACATCACCGGCACCGGTAGAGTCCATCATATCTATGATTTTTGGTTTGCCATCACTTGTGACCTATTAGTGCAATAATTTTGTATTAAATCTTTAAAATCAAATAATAATGAAATACCTGCAGTCCATCAGCACCTGGGTCAACTCCAGAGTCAATGATTGCAATTTTAATGCCTCTGCCATCATATTCAGGGTATTTATCTACGAATGACTGGGCAGTGGTTTCTCTTTTAGGTAGTAATGCCCACAATGGGAACGACTCATTAACTACCGGTGCACTCATATTAAACTAATTTAATTGAAATAAATTTTATTATATAATAGTATTATTTTTGTATGACTGAAAACTATTACCAACTATTTGTGATAATATATTATTTATTTATTCAACGATACTTTATTATTATAACTTTTTATAATTATATAACATTAAATGATTTATTTATTTAATATAAATATTAAGTAATGTAATAATCTTATTGCTATGCAAAGCATAAGATATTATAATAATAATCAACATTTTTATTTATATAGATTACAAATAAAATAAATATTACGCAAATTATTTATTTAATTTATATATCAATATAATACTGTATATAAAAGCAGCATTGTATTAAATAAAAGTTAAACTTATATTAAGTTTAAGTACATATAATAATTATCGTAAAGTATTGTTTTGTGTAGCATTTATAAATTGTAGAAAAATAATAAAATAACATAAATATTTTTATAATTTAGTATTTGTTACAAGATAATTAACAAAAAATTTATAATCATTTCTTTTAAATATTAGCGACAATTGAAACATTTTAATCATTTTCTTATTGATCTTAACATTACTCGTAAAAGTCTTATTGAAATCATTGATGACATCAATTGTGGGCCTATTATCCAGATTTTCATATAACATACGACTTATAAAGTTTTCAATGCCTTCAGTATTTACTCCCAAATCATTTAAAACAGCTTGTCTATAAAATAACATTATAATTAAAACACAAATCAGTTGTAAATAAAACTATTTTACACTTACTTTTGACACAAAACCGATTCAAACAACTGATTCACAATACTTCCGATATCTTTAATATCGCTATTATTAAGTGTATTTTTACTACATTTATGACAATAAATATAAGGTCCAGGGTAAACTAGTCTAATAAATCTGCCATTCCTTACATAGTGTGCCACGGGTATTAGCTCCGGGACCAATTTAGAGTGAATTATTATATGTGAATCCAATTCATGTAAATGTTTGACACATTCTAACAACTCTTTTACTAATTCACACGATATGTAAAAATCAATGCAAATATTTGTCAATGAGTTTTGCTTGCTAAATATTTCGGACTTTTTGCTAATTATATCACTTAATGTTTGCGAGCAATACTCCATTTGAATGTAAATATAATTGCTTTCAATCCACGCGTTATAGTATTGACACAAATACTCTGCGTTTTCTTTCATTGTTTTGCGGAGTTTTTGCAAAAATATTTGCATTTCTTTCAAATCGGCTGTAAAAGTGTGGACACATATTTAATTTAACAAAATGGCTAACAATTAAGTTAGTAATTAAATTACCCAGTACACCAAACTTTAGTATTGAATACATTTGTTTATTAGTCGTGTGTTTAGCTGTAAATAATATATGACAATACGTTTCATTCATATCATTCATGGATTCAAATGAAGTTTCTGTTAATAAATCCAATGAACCATTTTCTAGTAAATTATACAATAGATTAAAATTATTATTAAAATATTTGTTATAATGTATAAAAACCTTTTATTAATTCCTTTAGGGATAGCCCTATCATGCAAATGGGTTGACTCTGGATATATTTGTCATAAAAATATTGATATTTACATTGAATAACAGTATTAAACAATAGTAAATCATTGTCATTAATAAGCTTAGGATGTTTAATAAATAACTTTTCAAATTGCGATAATAATAGCTCGCAATCAATAAAATCACCATTTAAACATTGCCCCATTGAAACCAGTAATCTAACTACATTTTGTATTGAACAAGGTAAATCATTATGATTATCCATAGACTCCTGTTGACTTTATAAAAAATAAAACATTATTAAAATAATGACATACAATATAAAAGTATAGAAATGCTTACTTTCTATTTATAATATCATTTTTATCCAAATTAAAAATTTCTGCCCCAATAAGCGCCAGATTATAGATATCTTTCTGTTTGTCATTTAAATTATTTTTAGCATCAGTTGATGGCCACCCAATTGTATCAGGATTATCTACTGATGTAATTTTATTTACAAAACAATACACATCGTTAGCCAGACCAAAGTCACATAATTTTATGTATCTATGAGTATACGAGTGGTCTCTTATCAATATGTTTGAAAGTTTGAGATTTCCATGAATTATATTATTTTGATGCAAATAACTCACACTTTCGATGATTTGTTTGAATATTTCATAGGATATAAAATACTCAAATTGTGTCATTATATTATTTGTATTATATTTTGAAAATAGTTTTCTCTTAATATTTATTGTATTTTCTAAACTATCAAAACATAACTCCATTTGAATGAATAGACACTTATTTTCAATCCATATGTTTTCATACTGTATCACAAATTCTGTGCTAACTTTCATTAAGTTTTGAGTTTTGTTTAATAGTTTTTGTTTGTCCTTTCGTTTTAAATCTAAAAATAATATTATAATTAATATGATAAAATTCAATGTTCAATATATTTAAATTAAGTCTACAAGTACTGTACATGTATCTTTTATTTGACATTTCTTAATGGCATAAAGTTGTTTAGTATTTTTATCCATCACTTTATATACATATCCATGAGCACCATTACCAATCTCTTCAATTATGTCAAATGTACTCTCAAATTGACTTTCATCAGGGTCACATTCTTAAATAATTTTAATAAATAATATAAATATTTATATACTACAGCTACCGGTATCAAACATTATACTGTATACTGTAATTCATAATCAATACTTACCACTACTTTCCGGTGAATTAAAACAGTTTTCACGACTTTCTAGTAAAACATTTTCAAAAGTCATCTGATATTCAATTGCATAAAAATCATCAACAGTATTATAACCAGTGTCAATCACTTGATTATCATTCAAAATACAATAAACTTTAGATCCATTAGAAAATGTAATCAATGCATGTCTTTCCCGATACGAGTGAATAGCATAGATATGACTGAATAAGGGATTATTTATCTTTCTGTCCACACATTTCCGGTTAATGTCATAAATAAATACCTGTCCATCATTTGACAACAGGTATATCTTATCGTTATTAGCACCGACACTTTGTATATTATACACACAATCCATTAACTCGGGTTTATACAAGCAATTTCTGTAGGCATTCCAGCCCCACCTAAACACATAGCCGTCCGACGTTATAGCAAATGACTTCCGGTCACTGCACGAGATCTTCACAATTGTATATCCGTTGGGAAACTTCACTTCAATTGCCTTCAACACAGCTTTTACATCACTTTTGCCACAACCTACCTGTCCCCGATCATTGCTACCCCAACCGTATACATGTCCACTACCGGTCAGCACAAGGGTATGATTAGCACCACAACTGACACTAATCACAGGAATATCTATTGATATGATTTTTGGTTTAGTAGTGCCATATGTGGGGGCATCCAATGCTAACTGTCCTCTATCATTACGACCCCAACTATACAACCGGTGCTCACTATTGATGGCTAACACAAAGTCCTCGCCGTTAATAAACTGATAGATATTCTGTTCACTTAATTCCGGCACTTCTTCGGGGGTATCCACGGGTCGGTTATGTCCTAACCCGAGCTGACCCTCACTATTACTGCCCAACCCGTAGACGATGTCATCGGTGGTCACAAACAGTATGTTTAGTCCTTTGAGGTCATCAAAAATGTGGAGTAATTTTATTTGTTGTTTCAATTTTTGGTCAATTTTTGTACAAATGTTGAACTTATTTATGATGGAAATCATTGTAAGTCACTTCTTAACAATAGTACAGGGTACAATTTAACACTAGTATGTAATAAACACGACAGTAAAATAAAATTATGTTTAAAATTATTTAAGCTATGTTTTAATATAGCAAATAAATATTATTATGTAAATACTGTATTACTTTTATAACTTATAACTTATATATAAATATTATTACAAAATATTTCAAACTTTTGAAATGCTTGAAATACATAAAATATGATTTATATTTAAAATGCTAATATCTTATTTCACGCACACATAGCAATACAATTTATAATTATAATTAATTTTGTAAAATAAATTTTAATACAATGATATGTTATTTACTTACTTATATAATAATCATATGATTATTTGTAATTAAACACTATTATACAACTCAATTGCGTTATTCTTAGGATACTGTAGTGTTAAATAAGACACTGATTATTGTTATGGATTTGTAATCAAAATATTAGATTAGTTTTTATTGAAGTTTATTTATTGTTAAACAATTATTAGATAATTATATACCCCATACCTACAGGGGTGGCACACGTAACAATTAACATCAACATTATAATTATCTAATAGTACCGGTATTTTTAAAATACAGTAGTCAAAACTACATTTACAAATGACAATTTTAAATATGCTAAAATAAACAATTATATTTTTTTTAATATTGGAAATATCTAAATTGTATTTCAATAGAAATCATTAATTATGTATTGACAATTTATTTTATTTCAAAATGATCATGCAATGATTAATTCACATTATAAACTATTTTAAACTATAAAGTGTAGACTGTATAAATTAATTATGATAGTAAATATAGTAACACAGGTACGATACAGTATACCATAAATATTGTATTTCAGATATTAATGGAAAGAACGGTAAACTTCTGCTGACTACAGGTGCTGATGACACCGACAGACTATTGCCTTGACAAGGATTGTTAGGTATCTGTAAACTAATAATTAGATAATTGATATTTAATTAATAAAACTATTGACCGATAATAACATTATTATAGATATCCGTCGCCGTCTCCGTATTGTCCTCATTGATGACCACAGCGTAAGGACGGGTAGTTTCTTCTTCTACACAGGTTTCAGATACCGTCCTCTCAGTAGTGTTTGAAGTGACCGATGAGTTAGTCGTTGAATGGGATGTGGTTCCTCTAGGGGTTGTCTTTGATGGTGATACTGATGATATTGATGGGACAGTCGTGTTACTAGTGGTTTGCGACCACACAGTGACCAATAATATAGTCATCAGTGATAATAAGGTTAAGGAATTCATTATTAGTTGAGTTTTAATTAATAGTTTTAACTTTCCTTTAATGATAAGTTTGTAATTGGATTAATTATTTTACAAATTATTAAACATGTATGTAAAATGTAAATTCAAAATGTAATTTATAAGCTGTCCGAATGTGCTAGAACCCTTGATATTTTTACTTATCATTATTATAAGTAGTATTTTAAATATTTTAAATAGGTAACTATGCAAAAGAAAATGCTGTTGCATTATATGATTCATGATTGTTTTAAAAACATTTGCAATTCATTTAGATTTCAATGTAAAACTGCAAATAACTTTTAGCCGATTGCATAATTAAATTGGTTAAAATCACTAATAATTATAACACTATTCTATACTATATTATTAGTTAAATCCATTGATCAAAATCAGCGAAATGCCGGACAATTAGGCGATTAGTTTGTCCACATATTTCACATGGTATTCCCTATTCATTGAACGCGTTAATCAAAAATGTATAAGTTGAAAATTTGTATTTTGTAACAGTTTAACTATCTTACTAAATATTTTCTTAGATGGCTAAACGGTAACCAAGTTTTAAAACAATGTATAGAGAATAATATGTGAAATATGTGGACAAACTAATAGTTATATTAATGTCTTACGATTTATATTTCAATTAATCGTTTTAAAAAAATCTTTTAATATCGTAAAATCTATTTATTTTAAATACAGTATTTATTTTAAATCATAAAAATAATATAAAATATGAAATTATACAAAAAGCATAATATATTATATAATATTAATACCAATTAATAACAATATTTTCTATACCAAATTTTATCAAGATTAATTTAGCAAAACTTGAACTAGCAAACAAAATTATGTTTTAAAATCTAATACTATAATTGCGTTCATGACATAATGAGCCAGGGTGATTTAACCTTTAGTCACACCAATATCTCCATCTCCATCGCACACAACAAAGAGACCCTGGAGTTGGCATTTGACAACAAATGTCTCGTTGATCATCAATTGGTACGGATAGTCAGCACTGGAATTAGTGGCCGATGTTGTGTTTGCACTTTCCGAAGGGGCTGTCCATACGATGGCCATACATATGACAAATGCCCAAAATATTGCCAATAATTTCATAGTTTAATAAAATAATTTTAATTAAAATATATTTAAGACTGTTTTAATTGTTTTAAAAGAATGTATGAATTTAATATTAGGTGTGCCTTTATATACGAGTCGGTGTTTAGTTAATCATTATTTTTAGTGATTTCAGTAAATTCCAGATTTATTATTCATTAATTGGTTTGTGTATTAAGAAAACAATTATTCATCAGTTATAAGAATATTTTGTTAATTCATTTATTTTCGTAAGGTTTCTATAAATATTTGTTAAAATTACAATGGGTCTTTTTATTAGTCATGTAATACTTTAATTATAAATACATTTCTGAAAATTATTTTACCGATACTTTTTGAAATAATGACAAAAATATAATTATAGTTTATGAAAATATTGCGGACTAAAACAAAGTTACAATTATTTTCATGTTTAAACAACAATCTGGCACATTTTCAGTTTAATCATACAGACAGTTTAAATTCTAAAAATATACCGGTACATTAAGCAATACACCAACACTAATCTTAAAATATAATAAACTTAGAAAAAAATATGATTACTATTTTAATGCAATTTTACAATTAAGTTGTATGAATCTAATACTCCGGGCCAATCACATCCACAGCCTCGTAGTCCACTTCAATATCAGTGTTATTCATGCAATTCATTGTAGTTTGCGTTCAATTTAGTGTCGGTTTTGTTGTATTTGTATTCATTTGTGTTGTAGTAGTGGTCAGAGTTGTTGTCGTTTTAGGTTTACTTGTAGTGAGCGACCAAACATTTGCAGCATATATAACCACTAACAATAGAAATATGACATACTTCATTTTGAATCAATTTAATATAAACTAGTTAACAATTACTAGTTTATTCATAAATTGTACTTGGACAGGGAGCTTACTTCATAATGAGAACCTTACACACAAACATTTATATACAGTACTAGCAATAGGTCTACTTGTGATAACCAGTATATTATAGTACATTAATGGTTAAGTAATTTTTATTAGTTTATTTATATCGATTTATTTATTGATAGATTTAGCAATATAATTAATTCTTAAGTTACGTAAAATCTTAATGTGATAATTATTATAGTATTATTATTATTAATATTTATATAAATCTATTGATGATTTAATTCATTTTAATGATGATTAACAATAATTCTCTTAACGTCTAGAATAGTATAATAATATTTATTGAAACATTAATATATAATATAAACAATATTTATTGTAACTTCGGATTAATATCGGAGTTAAAATGTTAAGAAAATTATTTTTTTTAAAGTTTCCATAAGTGAACATATTGTATTACTTATAACGTGTTATTCAACTAGTACAGTATAACCTATCATTTATTCATCATTTATCATGAAAACAATAAAATAATTGTGTATAAATATTGTAATCTCATTGCCAATTGTATTTTAATTCATCATTCATGTCAATCATTAAAGAAAATCAAATTAAATAACTATAATTTTATTTTAAGTTTAAAATTTTCAATTATTATGCACATACTAAGCATATTTAATAAATAATAGAAATATACTAGCCAACAATATACAGTATTTTAAATCATATTTTATATTTCTTGAATAATTTCTATTTTCTCGTAAAAACAAATAAAACTTATCTCTAAATAAGACTAAATTTAAAACTTAAGACTAATCGCTGGCATCAGATCCAGAATC